GGCTCTGTAATTGGCGGCCGCTCGCTCCTCAAGGGGGGCCTCAGGAGGCCTCAGCGGGCGGCCCTCTACAATGTCTGATTAGAGGGCCGCGCAAGGCTGGCTGGATCAGGCAGACGTGGCCCTCTAATCAGGCATTGTAGAGGGCTGCCCACTGGGGCCTCCCGAGGACCCCCTTGAGGAGCGAGTGGCCGCTAATTACAGAGCCGCAACTGATGCGGGCTGGCCGGGTGCAGGTGGCAGAGAGGTGTGGGGAGGGAGCCACTGCAGCTGTGGCCACAGCAGACCCCCCACAACAAGAGTCCAGGGAGCCCCCACTGACCACCAGGGTAAGGTGACAACATTTTTAAACATAAAATACAAAATATAATTTTTTAATACTCACCTGATCCCTAGATCCACCGACAAGTGCAGCCTCCCATCTCCCGCGCTGTCAGAAGCTGCATACAGAGTGTGCCGGTTACTATTTAAACCAGAGAAGATATGCTATTAGCATAGCGGGAGCTATGCAAAGTACGCCGCCGGCTTCCCCGCTATGCTAATAGCGCATCTTCTCAGAAGCCTATCTTCTACAGCGCCCGCTGGTTTAAACAGTAACCAACACGCTCTGTATGCAGCTTCTGAGAAGTTACGCTATTAGCGTAACGGGAGCTATGGAAAATACGCAGCCGGCTTCCCCGCTACGGTAATAGTGTATCTTCTCAGAAACTGCATACAGCGCGCCAGTTTAAGTAGTAACCAGCACGCTCTGTATGCAGCTTCTGACAGCGTGGGAGATGGGAGGCTGTGCATGTTGGTGGATCCAGGGATCAGCTAAGTATTAAAAAAATAATATATGTTTTATTTTATGTTCCCAGGGACATTTCCGGGACATAATTTGTCTGGGGACAGTCTCCTCAATCCGAGGACTGTCCCCAGAAATCGGGGACGAATGGTCACCCTACACCAGGGAGCCCTCACTATCCACCAGGGAGGCACCACAGAGCCCCCACTAACCACCAGAGAGCCCCCTCTGGCCACAGTGGAGCCCCCACTACCCACATGGGAGCTACCACAGAGACCCCACTAATTATCAGGGAGCCCCCACTGGCCACCACAGATCCCGCCCTGACCAACAGAGAGCCTGCACTGACCACCTGACAGTCCGCATTGGCCACCTGAGAGCCTACTTAGGGAGCCACCACTGCTGCACCCACACGCACCTGTGAACTCTCTGGACCCCTGGTGAGAGCCAGCACAGCCCAGCTGAGAGCTCACACTGGCCACCTGAGAGCCCACAGAACCTCCTGAGAGCCTGGAGACATCAGGTGGCAACACAGAGTATGTAGCTTCATGTTATTCTGCATTGCTGTAATATGTATTGCTGGGACTTGTAGTCCTCTATAGCTGATGCCATTCTGCATTGCTGTATAATGGTATTGCTGGGAATTGTAGTTCTCTATAGCCAATGCCATTTTGCATTGCTGTACAATGTATTTCTGAGATTTATAGTCCTCTATAGCTGGTGGTATTATTCTGCATTGCTGTATAATGTGCTGAGATTTATAGTCCCTCTACAGCTTGGAGTTAGTGGCAGAACAACCAGGGTCGCAGCAGTCATGCACGTGCACAGAACTGACGAGGCATCCCTCCACTACTGGTGTGCTATAATTTTCCTCAACCCATAACTGTATCTGCCGCGTCTCTTCCAAGTGTGCATGTCATGAAGAGAGGGGGTCATGAATACAGCTGATTCAGATGACACGGCTAGAAAATGTACAGGGTCAAGAAAAATTATGGAACACTGACTTTGACACTGTCCGGCTCCTCCCACTATCCTCCCACAGCTCACAGCCCAGAAGCATGGACAGCCAGCGGCGGTCTATAGTGGGTGAGAGTGCCTAAGTACCAGACATGGAGCGGAGTAAGGCCAGAACCATGTAGGGAGCCCAGTGGGAGGAGAACACCATCCCCCAGCCAGTCACCCCTTTCATGGACTTACTAGTGAGTCCTCACATCACCCGACCATTCACACTAGCATTACATGGGTGGCAAAAGTGGCAGGCAGAGCGGGAGGGGGGCCAAGTTGCTGCACTCTGGGTTGTACTTGCCCCCTGGGCTAAAAGCTGCCAGTCAGCCCCTGCTGTATTCCGCACCTGCCGGGCGCCGAGAGCTGATTTAATTGCGGATGGCATCGGCACCCGGCGGTTGCGGTATTCAGGATTGTGGGCGGCGTTGGACCGTGGGGCACATATGCTATCTGCAATTAAATCAGCTCTCGGCACCCAGCGGTTGCGACATGCAAGCCGGACAGCAACCGATGCCCAAGGCTGAATAGGGGTCTGATGCTGGCAAAGATCCCCCCACTCCAGTGTCGGGCCCCTATTCAGCTCAAGGCTGCTGTCCTCTTTCATTACAAAAGTAAAGACCCACAGAGTGTCTCTGCAAATGGTTCCCAGTGCGTGTCTCTGCAAATGGTCCGTCTGCCACTCAACTCCCCCACCCATCTGCAGCTGCTTTAAAACAGTTACCTTTCCACTCCAGCAGCTGTGCTCTGCTTCTGCCTTGCTCTGTGCTTCAGCCTTCTAAAAGAAAGCTCTGCTCTTTGGGGGGGGGGAAATATCTTCCTGCACGTACACAGGAACATGCCAATTGTACAGGAGGGGGCCGGGACTGTACGAATTTCTCTGTAAATATTAATCTATAGTAAAAATTGCTTGGTTGGAACCTGTGCCCCACTACCCCCCCTCTCACATTAGTACTAACCTTACCCACCTGATGGCAGCCCTGCATGTATACCTTCAAATAACCCTTTTTTAAAGTACTGCTAACCCACTTACAAAAGGAAATCACTTAGTACACAGGTAGTATATAATCACTTATTGTTATTATACAGGATTTATATAGCGCCAACAGTTTGTGCAGCGCTTTACAATATAAAGATGCCCATACACAGCGCGATTCTCGTACGAGAATCGCGGGAAATCCTGCGATCTTACGAGAATCGTGCAGTGTGAATGAAGACGTGCGACCGTTTCTACCGTACGGTCGCGCGTCTTTTGTCTAAGGAGCATGCTAGAAAACCAGCCGAAAATCGTACGATTTTCGGCTGGTTTGAATGATGCTCGGGAGACAAATGCTGAACGGGCCGGTGTGCGCACGCGCACACTGCCCATTCAGCATTGCAGTCATCGGAAGCCCGCCCCTCAGGGGGGCGGGCTTGCGATGATCGCAAGTACGATCTGCCTGTCCAAGATGGGCAGATCGTACGTTTTTAAAATTACTTTACAACCATCGCAAGACTAAGGTCTTGCGATGGTTGTAAAGTGTATGGCCACCTTAAGGAAGACATTACAGTTTAGAGTACAAAACAAGACAATACAAGATACATTCAGAATAAACAACTCTGATTAAAATGCAATCAATGGGTTGGCAATGATCTTTGAAGCTCCTCAAATTGATGGCATTGGCAAGCCCAAAGCCCATTGACACAAGTCCTATAGAAACGTCATATATAACTACCCTGCTAGTTTCATACAAAACGTAATTTTCCATCATGCTGTGCAATAGCCTGATTGACTGGAATGTGTTAGTGGGAGACAGAGGGCAGGGCTAGGTGTGGTTTAGTGGGTGGGGCCAGGCAGGGCTAGGTGTGGTCTTGCAGGTGGGGATAAGTGGAGCTAGGCTTGGTCTACCATTGACTGGCAAGCAAGGAGCTTGCTTATCAGTGATGACTAGGATTAAAGCACAGCACACCATGATATCACTGTCTAAGCTGTAGTTCTAGGGAACATAGCCAATGCAATAATAGCAATGCTGCTGCCTTTATGATTAATGAACTGCAGCCATTGCCACCTGAATATAGGAAGTGGGGTTAGAGCCTTGCTGATATAGAGCTCAAAGGTACCTTATTGACATTGTAGCACCCTTTGCTGTGTCACTAATACATTTAGTGTATATCTGGACTGTAATCAGTCTGGATGCTGATTGCTCTGAGTTCTGCTGGATTCTCTGAGTCTGGTGGATTGATTGTTTTCCCCTACTGCTGGGTTGGGGACTCAGCATACACTGAGGAAGGATCCATCCTCAGACTGTGACTATGCATCTGACTCTGACCAATCTCTGAGCTGGGCTCAGAGGTATGGCTGAAGAAAGGTGATAAAAGATTTGGGGACACCTTCCAGAACTCTCTCTCTCCCCCGGGGCCCTCCCTGAGAGGAGGTATGTGTGCTACAGGATGCCTGCCCCAGGCCTCAGCATGTGGCAGATGCTGGGGGCCTAGAGGCCTAAGATACTAGAGGATGTCTGGTCTAGGCCTCAGCATGTGGCAGATACTGGGGTCCCAGAGAACTTAAATGCTACTGGAAAGGAACCTGATGGAAGCTGGGCTAGAGGTGGAATCTGCTTATGGAAGAGTGTCGCAGAGGAGCTGGTGAGAGCTACTGTCTGGACCCTGTAAGAGATCCCTCACCCTAATCTCAGGTACTATACAGAAGAGAAGCCAGTTGGTGCACAACAAGTCCTGTGACAGTTCCCTCTCTCTCTCTCTCTCTCTCTGAAAGTCCTGGGCTATTCCTGGTTGTTCTCTGGTGCTACTACATGTTACTGGTCACTCCTATAGGACCTCATGCTACTGTTTCAAGCTATTGCTAAGGGAGAAGACATAGTCCTCTAAAATGTTACTCGGGTATCCGACAACCCTAACACTCTCTCCTAGTTGCTAATTTGCAATAACTGCTAAAAAGACCCTACAACTCGAGCCTGTTCTGGAGTGTCGTTGTTGCTGGAGCTGGGAAAGAGGGGTCGGTGGCTGGCAAAACAGGTAGCAGAGCTCTAGTTCATATACAATGGCTCCTTCGGCGGTGAGTGCTGCAACATTTTTAAGCAACTTAGTAAATATGATTAACACTACATACTATATCTTGTTATGCTGTATTATGTTTTTGATTTTTGACTATTGTTCTACTTTCATCTGCAATTTTTTTTTACAATGTGTATTACAATTTACTTTTTATTCCTAAAAGGTTACATTCGGGTATTTGAAATACCAGCTTCTGCCCGCCATTTGCATATTCAGGAAACTGATTCATCTCCTCACTATTTTGGTAAGTACAAAGGTATTTTGTGAGTTCCAGCAGATAAAGTCGTTCTCCAGTCAAAACATTTTAAGTGTTGAATAGTTTTGAAGGAACAAACAAACTTTTATCAAGTTACTATTGCTTTAGATGCCTGTGAAATGCTGTGAGGGATTAGGAAGATTTGATTGGTAATCACGCTGGGTTACTGGTTACTGATCTAATGATGGGAATGACCCTTGCACTTACACCACCGTAGCTATGCAATGGCAGAATAGTGTATCATAGTTTTCTTTTAATCATGTCCATGGTCTGTGTTACTGCAGAGATAATGTGATTGGCTGTACAGCCACCTAATAATAAATAGGCGGCCAAGCATACAGCCGAGCCCAGAGGAGGCAAGGAAAATGATCAAGAGTGGAGGAGGTTCAGAGCTTTTGAAATCACTGTACTGCTGCCAAGTGTAGAAGCAGATTGGGTTTTATTTGTCCTTGGTCTGCTTGCAATAGTGCTAGAATTTCAGAATGACAGAAATAACAAATGCAAATGAATACAAAAAGGGTCTGGTATCAATTGGGGTACGAATATGCATCCATAATGAAAATTCGTACATACTACCGCTAAGGAAAATTCAGATTTTGTCCAAATCCGAATCCTGAAACGATTTGACTTTTGGACCCAAATCCTGAAACACGTATTAACGAAAAATCTGTATAAAAACAAAACAATTTTTTTGCCAGTGCACATGTCTAGTTAGTGGCACGGGGATCCCTGATTTCTCCATAAGGAGGACCTGTCACTGCTATGACATATAGGGTTTGACAGCTACCCTATGATAGTAATAAATAGAGAATACACAGTAAATATGTATAAAATACTAAAACGTAATAAAGTAATTTTAAAAAGTCCCACTTTTCACATATACATACATATAATTTTGGATGGTTACAGTGTTAGCAATATTGATGAAAATGTATGTGGACATTTTGCAGTGATTACCTATCATCATGAATAGGCTGTAAACATCATGGAAAAAAAAAACTTTCAGCACACTGTAGTCTTTAAAAGATCACTCCATGTCTATACTGTATCTAACTTAAAGAAAATCTACACTGAGAGAAGTATGCATGCTTCTCATCTTTTCTTCTGAAAATGTTATATGTCTGACTGTCATGTTGACTTTTAGGCCACCTATACTCCTATCCATTGTGGTGCTTAGCATTAACATATAAGGGTTATATCACATGTTACCTTGCATTGTGTTACAGAAGCACATTTATTTGAATGGGCTGCTAACACAGCAGAACAGACAAAAAAAATGCTCTCCACTTATTTTTCCAATGCAGCACACTACAACACATGGCAGTGTATTTTCATACATTTAGGGTACATCAGGGTTCCATTGAAAATGAATGGCATTACAATGCACTAATGCATGTAATGTGTGTTGCAGTAACACCCACATTACCACAATGCATAGTTGTGAAGTCAACCTGAGTTAAATTACTGTCCCAGAACATCTATCCCAATCCAATGTCCTGACTTCACTAGATTCATGTTTGTTGTAGGGCAGTAATAAATACTTGGACAGGGAAGAAGTTTTAAGAATCCCAGGTTTGATCCAGGGTGAGAAAAAAAGGGTGGAGGATGCTCAGACGCACCAGCAAAATGGAAACAGGATCCTGCAGCTTGTGGGAATACCTGAATCTTCTGGTGGTCGGGGGTAACAAGAGTCAAAACCACAACAAGGAACACATATTTAGTCAGAAAGCACAACCAAGGTCAGGACAGGCAGACTACTATCAGGGTTAGGGCAAGTGAGGTTAGCGATTTAAATTAGGTACGTAGTGTAAAATGCAAAAAACACATAAACTAACAAGCATTTCAACAGAAAATCTGTGTCAAAATTGTTCTTAAAAAGATAGGTAAAACAATCAAGATGCATGTCGATGTTCTTGGCACATCCCTGCAGGTGCACAGGATACCAGAGCCTATAAAGTGGATACTTTTTTGGTGCTTGCACTGTGAAAGAAAGCATGCAATGTTGGAGGGCACAGCAGAGGATTCATGATATGGCAGGATATATACGTATGACAGACGCATCAGCCTACATTTATAATTATCTAAAAGTTGCAAGCAAACTAATTTTAAATTGTAAAACTATTTTCTGATTTGTTTGTCTGAGCGGACGTCTAGAGACGCCCGCTCAGATCGAGAGAGCTCCTGGCCGGCCGTTTTTTTACTACGGCCGGCCCGGAGGTAGTTAAACTGTTTTGCAGATTGTAGGAACTCATTAGTGTGGTATAGGCTTTGCCATGGGCCCACTCATGATGTTTATGCATTGTATTATGTTATGAATGAATGCATCTGATGCTACTAGCTAGGTATTTATGCATAAATTAATATTTAAAATTTGTGGTCATATATTTGTATTTCCTTTTGTCTAGCTATCCGAAATCAAGCAACTGGAAAATTAATCTTAAATTATGAAAATCATCAGGATTCAAAAGTATTTGTGAAAATGGGTATTGAATGGGATTATCGTAATAATGACAACCGAGAAACACTTCAGACCATCGGGCCTTTGCGATATCCAATTGCCGTCCTTGTAAGTTGGTATATGGTTTGTACAGTGGAAACACAAAAGTTGTGGCCAAGACCTGAGTAATAGGCACCACACCCCTAGAAAATTGATACAAAACAGATAGCAAAGACGGGGGTTTTTAGGTACTATATGACAAATCCAAACAACTAAGTATAGAAAAATATATATCTTTATTTTATAGTAATTAAAATGCAAAAAATAATAGGTAAAAACAGACCTCCAATATGATACCTTATGTGACCCCGTCTTTTATATTTTACCAAAAAATTGGGTAATAATACATGTTTTATCATTTAATATAGGGGAAACTGTTTTTTTTTTTTAAATTTCGGTAATTTTTCCTTAATATAGTAAAAAATAAAAACCCCAGTGGTGAATAAATACCACCAAAAGAAAGCTCTATCTGTCCCCAAAAATAAATGTCAGTCAAAGTACCGCAGCGCTGAATACTGAAAAATGGCCTGGATGGGAAGGGGGTTTAACACCGCGGATGTCAACTGGTTAAACATCACTCCACTCCATTTGACATCAAGGCAAGTAATACATAGATTGATAGTTTAATAAATAGGTTAAGCTCTGAGGAAGGGGGTTTGCCCCAGAAATGCATTGTGGTTATTCTAAGTGGGAGCCAGCTGGTCTGGTCCATGGAGCCAGTTGTTTCCAGTCCTTGGGTTATTTCTGCGGTTTATATGGTGTTTACATGGTGTCTGGATGCAGAGTGCCTTTGTATCTACATGCATATACACATCTATTGAGTATTTTTCACCACTTTTTAATATTGCTTAAACTTAACGTGCTTCGCAAGAAGAAGGCACCTCACTCTTTGTGTTTATTATTCATGCACTGGAATATTTCCCTGTCGGATGTGGTCAGGCAGCTGCTTCCCTTAGAGAAGACTATTTGCACGAAGAATAAATGTATCCACCATTAGCGCTGACTGGTGTGTGTGTGTGTGTATATATATATATATGTGTGTGTGTGTGTGTATGTATATGTGTATGTATATATATATATAACAATTCCCCACAAGTGAATAAAATATTGTGTAAAACTATAACATCACTTATTATAACAAATCAAAACATAAATTATTGTGAACCAGTGAAATGT